CCAAGTTCTCTACAAACTTTCATTAAACTCTCAACAATTAAAAAAAAAATTAGGGGAGCTCTGGTGGCCTAGTGGCAAGACGCTGCACTATAATCCCAGAGGTACACGGTTCAAATGCACCAGACGTTCTGCTGGAGAAGGAGGGAGCAATCTCCTCCTGTACCAGTCAGATCTGATTTGACAGTACACGTAAAAATAATACAATAAAAATTAAAAAAAAAAAATTTAAAAAAGGGTTACACATAAGTTCACCACAAGCCAGAGCTGACTCCACAACAATTACAGAGTTGTTAGAGTTGTTCAGACACCAACAATCACGGCCTTCCGATCCAAGAAACAGCTCATCCTGTCACTTCTATCTCCAAAATCACATTCCAGAGTAATCCTTCTCCACATCTTCACTGTCCCCAGACTCGTCCAAGCCACAGTCATTTCCAACAGTGGTTTAACTCTCTGTGCTTCTGCAAAAGAAGCCAGAGCATCCTGATAATTTCCTGACTATACAGTAGTGGCCTAGAGGATAAGATGGTGTGCTGCAATCCTGAAGACAGGAGGTTCAAACCCACTAACCACCCCACAGGAAAAGGACGGGCAGTCTCCTCCCATAGGATTAACTGCCTCAGAAAACCCCTGAAGGGTCAGCCATGAGTTGGTTCTGACTCAACCACACAACAACAACAATACACTGTCATAAAATCAAACAAACCACAAGAGGTGATCAAACGCAAGCACCACAAAATAATAAATTTCACTGGATAATAAATCAAAACGGCAGCTACAAAATGCTTGTGTTGCCTTCAACAAGGGAAGCAGAGCTGATTCGAACTTTGATGAGGACAGAGGCAGGCCCCACGGACAGAGGGTCAGGCCTGGACTGCAGGCTAATGGATGCACACCAGCCACACTGCCAGCAGACCTCAATGCCTTTATATGCACCACTGGTAAAGTGATGGAAAAGTCTGCAGATCTCAGGTCTTCAATAATTAGGCTTCCCTAAGAAGAGGAGCACCTCGGGGTCAGGGTGAAGGGTGGTGTTGTTAGGTGCCAGCTGAGCTTAGTACGACTCATAGTGATCCTACGAGCAGACCTGAACCCTGCCCTCTCCTGTGCCATCCTCTTCATCTCTGATGCACTTGAGCCCATTGTTACAGTCACTGTGTCAATCCTTCCCATTGAGGGTTTTCCACACCTTAGCTGACCCTCCACTTTTCCAAGCTCGATGTCCCTCTCCAACGTACAGCCTTTCCTAGCAGCATGCCCGAAGTATGTGAGATGGAGCTTAGCCATCCTTGCCTCCAGGAAGCACTCTGGCCACACCTTCTCCAATAGTAATGATGATTTAAGAGTGAATAAATGAACTTTCTTTTTGTTGAATAAAAAACTGGCAGTAGCCTTAACCCCTTATTTTAAATAACCAACAATGTAAAGCACCTCAACTTCTTGTCTTTTTATCAACATTGACTCAAAGCTGACCCCCTCCCCCAATTTGGTTTAAGAAGCTGTAAATCACACAGGCGGAGACTGCCAGTCTTTCTCCCTCAGAGCAGCTGGTGGATCTGAACCACTTGCCTTTGGGTTGGCAGTTCAACTCCTTAATCACCAGGCAACCAATCCTGGCTTCCAATCCTGGATACCCTAAACCATTGGATCTCAAACCACAGTGGCTCAGAGAGTACTGCAGTCCATAGAGGACTATGCTAACCCAAAGGTTAGCAATGAGATCCCCCAGGGTCTCCTCAAGAGAAGGTCAGGCAATCTCCTCCCATGCTATTTACAGCACCAGCTACGAGTCAGTTACGAATCAACAGAAATGAGTTTGAATTTCCAGAAGGTGTGAGATCACCCAGCCTTTCTTCATAGCTCATCTTCATCTGATAGCTCTTGCCGAAGCCTGAAATGTAAGTACAACACACAAGCCCCGAGAGGCTGACTGAGCTCAAGGTACACTTGGAACTGAACCCAGGTCTCTTCATGGGAGGAGACAGTTCCATCACTGAATTTCCAATGCCCCTGTAAAAACAGAATAGACCCAACATCTTTTGGTCAGAAATGTGATAAGCCTATCTCCTCCTGCACAATTTCCTGCCTCTGACAACCTGCTGGAGTATCAGCTATGAGTAGGCTCGGACTCAACAGTATCCAACAAGAAGAAATGTAGATTTACCATGCACAGTAAACACACATCTCTCAAATCAAGTGCCAGTTCTCCAGAGAGGTTGAAATGAACGATGACAAAGTGCAGCCAATTGTCTCTTAAGAGGCTTGGAGACATTCTCCATTGTTCATCCCTCCACTTTATTCATTCATTGTAACCTCACTGTGTCTAACTCTGCTTTGACTCGTATGCCTTCAATTCACGAGAAGCAATGTCCCATGTGGAACAGTAGAGCACAGAGGACTTCCATGAGACCAGCAGACTCACACATTCTTCAAACCTAGGTGCAGGGCTATCTCTCCTCTGAGGCCACCCTTCAGCAAATGAGCAGAGCAGCACACAATTAAAGCATCATGTCTGTAAGATCAGAGCTCTACTTAAAAATCACCCAAGAGCATTATGCTGAGTGAACTAACTCAGTCACATAAGGATAAATACTGCATAAAACTGTTATTGTAGAATAAGGATCCAGGAGGGGTGGGAGAGGGTGGAAGCAGAGGGATGTGGATGTACAGGGGGATGAGGGGATTAATCATTGGGTTGTACAATTTGATGGGTGCGGGGTGAGGGAAATTGAAAGAACTTGTTCAAATTTGTATTTAAATTTTGTAAATAAACTAGTAGACAAATTTAAAAAAATTTAAAGTCACTTGAAAGAGACCAAAATTAACAGCTATGGAAATATGAAGACGAGAAGATAAGAGAGACAGGGAAACAAGAGTACTAGAAATGGAACAAACACTACAAAGAGCACACTGACACATTTGATAAATGTAAGTGACAACTGTGAGCAAGCTATGCAGAAGCTTCCAAGTGGGAATCTTACTTAGTACACACACTTTCACCAAAAATTCAATAAACTACTACTTTGGAAAAGATCTAAGTAAATCACTTAAAAAAAAAAGCCAGTAATATTCCACTCTCTCTGAAAAGAACACATCTGAGTAAGTCTGAAATGAAACCCATAAAAAGCATTTCACAAATTCTTTTATGTTCTGTCAAATTAAACTTCAAGTCTGGAATGGTAATTTATTGGAAGCAGTTGCCTACTTTGTCTTTAAAAAAAAGGGGGGGACCCTAGAACTTGAGGACATGTCATGGTCCACAAACTACCAGCTTCCAGAACTGAGGCAATAAATTTCTGTTGATTAAACTCAGAAATGTGTCCAAATTAAAAAGTGATTCATGTCTAAGTTTTCGCAGCCTCTATCCCTAATCTTCACCTGGTGAGCCTCTGCTGACAGTGTCAAAAAGCAGGTTCCTGCAAGTGTCCATTCTCAGCTCCCCCGACAAGCATCTCAAAGAGTTGGCCAAAGAGAACAAAAACTCAAAGTCACAGCAACTTCCCAACAATGGAGCAAGGAAGCCTCCCCGCCTCCCCAGGAGACAAACCCACAACAAACCAGAGAAACTCAGAACAAAACACTCCAGTCCCAGATCACATGCACTTCAAGAGCCAGTGTTTTTTTTCCACTTTGGTTTTAATGTAAATGTACATATATAGCAAAGATACCACAAGTTAGGAGCATGAGATAGGCTCCTATTTAGCATTCTTAGTCATTAAAATAGCCCCTAATGCTTCACCATAATCCCTCAATAATCTTTAGCAATATGAGGCAGGTAATTATGATCGTGAGTGTTTTATGGAAAAGTTAAGTGACTTGAAAAATTGGCTTCGTAATTCGCCTACAGTCATAAGCAAATGAGCAGCGTGTCTAGGAATATGTGTTTTTCATTTTGCATCTCTTACTTTGCTCCTTTAGTTAATCAATATCTTCTGAGATCTTTAGAATTTTTCAAAATCCCACAACATAGTCTACCCTTGTGTGACTTTGCAGGACAAACCATGGTGTACCTGGTGAAAAATTCTTAATGATTTACAATAAGAATGCTGCACATTTACAACAGGTGCTGCCTTAGCTGTTTCCCCCTGTATAACTGAAAATGGAAACATGGTTTTAAATCCTTATTATTAACTATCCTGTTGTCTATTAATCCTATAAATACTCTGTGAATTCTGTAATATGATGTAATCACCTGTCTTAATATACTGTTATGAAATGCATGCAATTAATCTGTTAAGAGGGGAGTTTCCTTAGAGTGTATTCTGACTCCAGACTGTACTAAGGAAATGCTCTGACAGAACTCACTTCACTTTCCTATCACCTGACTTGCAGATCTTGTACCAGTCTGCCACATCGCCTATGAAATTCAGGCTTGCCAGCCCCCAAATCTTACAACTAATATATAATTTTGCCAATTCTATTTCCTTGAGAACCTGAAGAAATCCCCAAAAGTAACAGGGAGAGATAATCTTATACATATGAACACATCGGAGGCCACTGGGATAAAATGTTTCATATCCAAACTCTTCCCATTGTGTAAACTATGCTTTCCAAAATAGGGTCATCTGCAGACAATACTTGAAGGGTCTCGAATAGCACCAAGTCTCAAATGCAGATGTTGATGAAATTAAAATTTCATCAAGTAAGTCCTTGTTTTGATTTGGAGTAACCTTAAATACACTGCCAGTTATACAAATGCTATCTATATTTGTGACCCTCTGCCAGGGCCAGTTTTCACATTTCTGACACTCTCAGAATCAAGATAAAATATCCTTCAGAAAAAAAAACTTGGTTAAAACCAAGAAAAACATTGCAATCAAATAATCAACTATAAATACCAAGATCAAGGCAATTTTTAAACTGTGCTATTACTCAAAGCCATGCATATTCAGGAGATCTCTGTGAGGTCATGCTCCAGAGGGAAAATTCTCTGCACTCACACTCTCTGAGGGATCTGAGTTACTTAAAGGATACTCGGTTTTAAGAAAAGTCTCAGTTACCTTTGAAAAGCGGGCATTTATCCATTTGGTAAAGGTTTTCTTCTGCACGTCATTGTGTTCATCTGTAGGAAGAAAGAAGAGAAAAGTATGAGCAAATGAACCTTCATCAGGAGCTTAACTAAGATGATCTCCATTCTGCAGTGTTTACGACTGTCCCATTAGGAGAGCTCAGGAGGGACAATGATCCATAGCTAATTAGAAGTGTGATGACTGGAGTGTGATGACCGGAGTGTGATGACCAGAATGTGAAGACTGGAGTGTGACAACCAGAGTGTGACAACTGGAGTGTGATGACTGAAGTGTTATGACTACAGTGTGACAACTGGAGTGTGAATACTGGAGTGTGATGACTGGAGTGTGATGACTGGAGTGTGATGACCAGAGTGTGATGACCGGAGTGTGATGACTGGAGTGTGATGACTGGAGTGTGACAACTGGAGTGTGATGACCAGAGTGTAAAGACTGGAGTGTGATGACCGGAGTGTGACAACTGGAGTGTGAAGACCAGAGTGTGATGACGGAAGTGTGATGACCGGAGCGTGATGACCGGAATGTGATGACTGGAGTGTTCTCCATCCCCGGAGCCTGAAGGCGCTCACAGCTGAGGCAAGCTCTGGGAACTGGGTTCTCTGTCATTCAGCACCAACACACAACAACTAGTTGTGCCCCAGTCACAACAACCTGGTCTGAGGGGCTGACTTGGTAAATATCATATATTATACTTTTTGTTACATGTTCTGGTTTTGAGTCCATTTCGGGTGTTTGTGGTTGTTGTTGTTGTGTACAATGGAGTGGGAACCAACCCATAGCTGGCCTTCCAGTGGGTTTTCAGAGGCAGTTAACTAACTGCACAGGAGAACACTGCCCATCCTTCTCCCATGGAACAGCTGGTGGCCTCAAACCACATGCCTTTGGGACTGCAGCACGACTTCTCATCACTAGGCCACCAGAGCTCTGGAACGGCCTCCTTTTCATACAGGTCCTATGCTGCCAGAGCTGAAAGTGGTACAAAGTTTATAGTGAATTCTACAGCTCATTTTCCTGCAGTGAGGCTGACACAGCAAAGATTTTCTGACCTTGACCTTCAACTCATTTTACAAAGAGAAAACGGGGGGGGGGGGGTTCAGGGGGGGAAAAATCAATCATTTAGTATAGATTACAAACTTGTTTTCTAAGCCATAACAAATAAAAACTGACTTAAGAAAATTTCTAGAAGACAGCGTGATTTATTAGACAGGAGGAGGTTATGTTTTATTTTCAAAAGAAAAAAGAGCAAAGAGCTTTTGGTGCAAGCTGGCCACAATCCACCCCACTTACTGGGTTCTACTGAATAAGCACTCCACCATCTCTTTGCCTCGTAACTCTTATTGTTCATATGCCTAGTGCCGTATTCTCTACCTGCCGCCAAGGCAATTCCAACTCCTAGTGACCCTCCATCAGCTTCCTGAGGCCATAAATCTTTCTAGAAGGAGACTGTTCATCTTCTCCCATGAAGCAGCTGGTGGTTTAGAACAAGTGATCTATGTTGTTAGTAATGCTAGTGACAATTTACTACCTCACCAGAGCCCCTCCTCATCTGTGTGGTGGTGGTGGTGGTGGTTTGTACCGTCAAGTCAGAATCACCTCAGAGCTGACATTCCAGGAGGTTTTCAGAGTCAGTAAATCACATGGGAGGAGACTGCTCATCCCTTTCCCACAGAGCAATAGGTGGATTCGAACAGTGAGCCTTTGAGATTGCAGTGCAGCTTCTTATCGCAGGCCACCAGAGTTCCCTGGGTATAAATAATACCTAGCTTGTAAGGGTTGTGTCACGATCACTGAATAAAAAAATTCTCTGCACTCACACTCTCTGAGGGATCTGAGTTGACAAATAGCTGATATGTAAATATTGTTATTGCTATTATTGTAAGTAACAAACAAAGGTAACAAATGGGAATTTGTTTTACCCTTTCAGTCACGCAGAAAGTAAGAGTACACTGTGGAAAGAAGTCCTTTCAACTATATTCTCTTCACCACCCCTCAATGTCCAGAAACACCAGCCACATCAAAACAGTCCACATCACCAACAACAAACAGAGGAAGAGGAGCTCTGGTGAGGTAGTGATTTGCCAGTCACACTACTAACAATATAGTGTCAGCAGGAAGCCTACGAAGTGGTGTGCTGCCAACCTCTGAGTGGCACTGAAAGGTCCAGCCCTGTCCAGGCGCCCAGGCTGCCCGACATCATGATAGCAAGAGGGTAACTCAGGGAGCCTGGGCTCTCTCTGCCAGCCCTGCTTCCATCCCAGAGAAGCTGCCTGCTACCTGCAAACACAGACCCCTTGCTAACCGCTAACAGCAAGATCACAAGTCTGCCCATGACTTCTTCACAAAGCATGTGGTATCTCTGGTCCTTACCCCCTCTGCAAGGAGAGTCTGTAATTAAAAGACAATTCTGAAGTAAATATAGCAGAGGTCCCAAAAGAGAGTGCACTTTATAGATCCATACATGTAACTGGAGACTGAATGCAAGTCACAAAAGGACTAACTGGAATTGGGGGCGGGGGGGGGGGGAGCGGGGAACTGCTCTCCAAGAAACTTCTTGATGTTAATTGTGCCGAGACGTGACCTTCCTTCCAAACAGGGCAATGATCAGGCTCAACTGCAGGCATCAATACCACATATAAGTCACTGCTTAACAAGAGGACTTGACTGTATACTCTGAATGTTCCAACCTTGCCATGAATCACAAGGTGTCATAAGGTATGATGCACAAATGAACCTGCAGGGGGCGCAACACTAGAGTTCTTTAACATTGGCCGTGATACAATCAGTATTGCTGTGTGGTGTTGCGCTAATCAAGCCACTATGCTTATCCACTGGTTTGAACCCGTCACTAATTCTCTGAGGGAAAGATGGGAACTCTTCTATTAAAATTTGTAGCCTTGGCAACCAATGGAGGGTCTCTGTGAGTCAGAATTAACACAATAGTGGTGAGTTCAAATTTGCATTTGTTGACATGGAGAAGTTCTACTCTGTATCATAGGGTTGTGATGAATCAACATCAGCTTATTGGCACTTGATTGGATTTTTTGGTTTTGTTTTTACATGTCTTCTTGACACCTGGAATACCAATTATTTGTCCTATATGCATTAAATAAGCCTAAAATTTACTTCCTGAATAGATGGGATAGCAACTGACCTGTTTCAATTAACAGATGCAGTCTTAGATGTGCTCACTCATCTATGCCAGGAGGTCGATATTTGTTCCCATTCCCAAGAAAGAGGATTCAATAAAATGTGGAAACTATCAAATAATATCACTAATATCACATGCAAACAAAATATTGCTGAAAATCATTCAAAAATGGCTAGAACAGTACAGAGATAGGGAACTGCCAGAAGTTCAAGCAGGATTTAGGAGATGCCATGACACCAGGGATATCACTGCTGATGTCAGATGGATCCTGGCTGAAAATAAAGAATACCAAAAGAATGTCTATTTATGCTTTACTGACTAAAGGCATTTGACTGTGTGGATCATAACAAGTTATGGATAACATGGAGAAGAACGGGAATCCCAGAGCACTTAATTGTGCTCATGTGTAAACCTGTACCTAGGCTGTTGTGTGAACATGGCAAGGGAACATTAAATGGTTTAAAATTTAAAAAAGGTATGCATCAGGGTTATATTCTCTTTCCATACCTATTCAATCTGTATGCAGAGCAAATTATTCAAGAAGCTGAACTTTATGAAGAAGAATGTGGCATCAAGATTGTAGGAAGACTCACTAGTAACCTGGGTTATGCAGATGACACAAGCTTATTTCTTGAAAGTGAGGAAGACTTAAAGCACTTGTTGCAGAAGATCAAAGAATGCAGCCTTCCATATGGACTGCATTTCAATGTCAAGAAAACAAAGACTCTTACGAATGGACTGATAGGCAACATCATGAGAGATGGAAAAAACACTGAAACTGCCAACAACTTCATCTTATTTGGATCCACAATTAACATCCTTGGTAGCAGCAGTCAGGAAATCAGGAAACGTACTGCAGTGGGATAGTCTGCAGTTAGGAACGTCTCCAAGTTACTGAGGAGTAATCATGTCAAGTTGAAGACTAAGGTGCATCTTATTCAAGTCTTTCTGATCACTTCCTATGCATCTGAGAGCTGGGCAATGAATAAACATGACAGTAGAATTGATGACTTTGAGCTGTGGTGTTGGATAAGAGCTCTCAATACCTCATGGACTGCCAAAAGAACAAATATGTCTTGGAGAGGAGGGTATAGTCAGAGTGCTCTTAGGAGGCAAAGCTGATAAAGCTTCACCTCACATACCTCAGGCATATTGCTAGGAGGGGCTGTTCCTTGGAGAGGGACATGAAGGAGAAAGTCAGTGAGGAAGAAGAAGAACCTCAACCAGGTGGATTGACGCAGTGACTGCTGCAATGTGCTCTAATGTGTCAGGAAGTGTTAGTACAGCACAGGATAGGACAGAGTTCAGATCTGTTGTTGAAAGGGTTGCTATGGGTTGTACTCGACTCAATAGCACCTTACAACAAAATTTCTTTTTTGAACTTTACCGTATTTTCTTTTCTATATCCTAGAGACAGAAACATGTAAAAGTCATAAACAGTTACCTTACTTTCTGTTATTGTTGTTGTGTGCTAGTGAATTGAAACCAAATTCTCCAGTGGGTTTTCACAGGCATTAAATTGCATGGAAGGAGATTGTCTAACCTCCACCAGAGCCACTGGTGGATCTGAACTGCATGCCTTTGAGACTGTAGCACAGCTTCTTACCACTATGACACCAGAATCCCTTATCTTACTTCATGTGGTTGCTGAGTTCTGTCAAGTGGGAACCAACCCAAAGCTGACCCTCTGGTGGGTTTTCAGAGGCAGTAAATTGCACGGAAAGAGACTGACCATCTGTCTCCCCCAGAGCAGCTGGTGGCCTCGAACCATGTGCCTTTGGGATTTTAACGCAGATGTTTTTACCATAAATAAGAGAGCAAACCTAACAAAAGTAATATTATGCTTTATTCTCTGATCCTTTTTTCAAAGCATTTGAATTTTTT